CCCTTGTGAGTTATTCTACTGAGCTATTTCCCCAGCCCAAGGCATTATTGAAAATACTTTAGAAATATAAATTTTATAGTATTTGAATTTGTCTAAGTATAATTGAAGTTTTTTTGAAAAGTAATCTCGGAACTATATATAAACACTAGAATGTTCAATCTAGCAAACCAAACATGTACATAATGTACATGTACCAAAATGTACATACACTGAATAAATTTAATAAGGGAGAAAGTAGAAAATGCAGTTTGTTCCTTTTAAGGTGATTCTTTTTACTGAAGACTACATAGCTAAAAACAGTCTTGTTCATAGAATGTCGGCTGCTCAATTATAAATGCTGCATGTATTATGGTAGTTAGATGTGGCTGAGTAAATTCAATGCTTTTTTAAAAATACCATTGTCTTTTTATAATGAAAGTTTACTATTTAACTTTTTGTTTTAATCAGGAGCTTTGTAAACATTTTTATTAAAAGCTTGCTTATTTATCTTTTAGGTTAAATCTGTAAAAACGGGATCTGTTTTTTGGACAATGTGCTGCTGTTTATCATATTTCTATATGGTAAGATTTCATATTTGAAATTCTGTGAGTTCTAACAAACTTCAACATAATTCCCTTTCTCATTCTCCTAGATGAGGACTACTAGGAGGACTGGTTTTCTACTTTTTTTCTCCTAAAGCCTTTAGGGTCTTGATTTTTAACTGATGGGTTTTTTCATTACTGCCATCTTTCTCTTTTACCTCTACCCCCAGAGCCTATATATATAAGTTTTGATGGGGAGGGCTAATACTCATCTCCTTGAAAACATTATATATGTCAAATACAATACATTGTTTCAGATGTTAATTTTTCAATATTTTAACTATTATTGACATTTAGACTTTTTAAAATTATTCCTTGCTTTATATTTTCAATTGTACTTACAAGAAAGATGTTTAAGGCCAGGGGAGATAGCTCAGTAGAGTAAGTGCTTGCCTGGCATGCACAAAGTCATGAGTTCAATCCCTGGTACTGAAAAAAAAAAAAAAAAAAGTAAATTCTTTTTAGGGCCGGCCAAATAGCTCAGTGGATTAAATCACCTGCAAGCAGGTGCAGGGCCTGGGGGTTCAATCCCCAGGCCTGCTGTGCCGGCCCTGCAGAGACATCAGTTGAGACTGGACATGGTGGCGTGCACCTGTAATCCCAGCTCTTGGGAGACTGTAAGCAGGCAGATCACTATGAGTCCAATCTGGTAGTGAGACCCTGAACTAAAAT